GGGAATAAAACATGCAATGTACTGTGCATCCTAAAAACATACACATTCAACAGCTCAGTAACATGCCTGACTTTCCAAAAATAAATTTCTGCTAGAACCAATTAGGCAATTATTTGCAGATGCCCAAACTCAGACACTTCTATCAAAGTTTCAGCCTCATTATATTCTTACGTGGTAAAGCCAGGGCTATGCTTTCTTCCATTCTCCTCTCGTTTCTCATAAAATACAGGACTTTAAAGAATAATTTTTTTAAATGTACTAGTTTTGTCACTTATGTTCAAGATTTCTTTCAAATACACTGTATTGCACTACCCTTTCTATTCTTTTGACCCATCTTTCTTCGTCTCCTTCTCTGATACCTCATCTCTGATAACTTCTTGCTCTTTTAAGCCTTGGAAACCGATCTTACCCTGACGTGTATCTTCTTCCATGGCAACAGAAAGTATTGGCTCAGCCTCAAGAATTTAGGATTCTAGGAACTCCTCTGAATAATTGCACATACATTTTTTTAAAACTAATATATAATCTATGAGTTCCATGAAAAATAAAGTTGTTCTCAGTTGATTCTTTCTCCTAGTACATTTCAAACAGAAATATAACAGCCACCACAAAAAAAAAAAAAAAAAAAATCAAACAACCCTATTTAGTATTATTCGAGCACGGATATACTCTAGTACTACTACAGGAAAAAACCTTCTGATCTGAATTAATAATTTTAATTACAATAATATTTAGCATCTGAATGAAAAAGAGTTAATGAACATCCATGTTTTGTGATATTATGGTAAAAGAGATGCACATAGATGCACCTGTTGAAAGTTGTTATGCACTGGAATTTCAGAATTTCAAATTTCTTAAAAGGTATGATGCAATTGGTAATTTTTATTTTGCCAGGAATGGCAACAGCAGTAGGAATACAGGAATTTGCATTTGAAGCTTTTTTAACATTTTCAGACTATTTTAAAGCACTGACAGATGCATAGAGACAGACTACACTTACTACACAACTTCTTTAGCCTTTGCATTTCCCAGCTCAGCAACAGCTACTGGGCGACCTCTTGTGTTGAAACATGCCAGAGCAGCTCCTTTATTTCTTTTTCTCTAAATAAATTACACAAACATAAGGCTGGCAGTGCAAAACGAAGAGATCATCTCTGTCATTACAGTGAATATATACTGCCTGCAGATAGGATTTGTACTGATTTATTTTACCTACTCGAATTGTGCATTGAGGAATTTACCTCTGAAGCCAATACGACAGGCAGTCAAAACCAACGTGCCATGGCTACCATCATGCCACTCTCCACACCATTCCTGCAGTAAGTATTGTGAAAAAGATATGCTATCAACTTCTTGCATTTTATTGCCACTGTATTAAAATAAGCATAAAAAAAAAAGAAAAACAAGATACATAACAGTCTAATCAAAGCAGATGAAAGCAATATACCATTAAAAAACGAACTTGCAACTTGGCAGCAATCTCACTGCTGCTCCCCTTCTCCTCATGCCTCTTTTCCCCCAAATCACTGCTGTCTTAAGAGTCACATTCAGCACCCAGAGGCATCAACAGGAATTTCTACACAGACTAGAAAGGCTCATGCAAACTCTGTAAGCAATCATGCAATACATGTCTAGTTCAGGAAGGTCAGCTGAGCAACCATCTTCCACAATAAATGTTTCCCAACACAGTATATCAAACTTAAGATCTGTAATAGAAGATAACAAGCTACAGTTGCCACAGAGGGGAGAAAAAAAGTCCACAGAAGGTACTGGCAACAAACTGTACTAAGTCCTTGCAGTAGCCAAGAATGACAAATAAAAGCCCCAGCTTAACCAGAGAAAAACTATACCACACCCATCAGAAAGGAGAAAACCAAACCATCAATAAAAGATTAAATGAATTTTATTAATTAATATTTATGACTAATACTGTGAAAGCACTGTTAGATATGTCAGGGAACTTAAGACAAACTGAGCACACAGGCTTGAGATCTCTGGTTTCAAACTTGCTGTAGTCTCAATGAAATAAGACTGAAAGTAGCTATGCTCACTCAGCTTTGGAATACTTACTCTGTAGCCACAAGGCAGGCTTTCGTTTTCCACAAGATCTACACTTCAATATTTAGAAATACATGCATAAATATAATCAGGGCACACTATACAACCCCAGAAAAGGATGGGCAATCTGTTGTCTTTTCAAGAAATCAGCGTCATTCATCATTCCCCCTGAAAAGGAACTGAAATGTGAATGTTTGGTTGATAGAGTAACTGATCAAAATTGCTCAATGAACAGGCTGAATAACAAGATCAACAAACAAAAGTATTTTCTAACAGAAAAATAATTGCTGAGGGATCTGGCCACAAAATGACACTCTCTACTTTGTGGCAATCTAGAAGTTCTTCAGCATAGCTTTCCTCTCAGAGGTGCCAAAACCACTACAGTCAATAAAATCAGCTATGTTAAACTGGGGTCAGGTAAAGGAGAAATGCTCAATGCATCATTTCTGTAGCTGTGTGTGCCATTTCTGTAGCTATATTGTAAATTTACTATCCAGTATGGTGTGAAGTCAAAGTAGCCTCCAAGCAGCCTCAGAATTCATTCCCCCCAAGTCTAAACAAAGAAAAATTAGCCCAACTAAAGCCTGTTGTTATAACATGTTACTCTGACTTACAACAATGCAGTAAATTGTTTTGATTTTTTTAGCCTTTTAAAATAAAATCATCATTATGTATTGAGCTCTTAGGACTCAGCATACAGCAAGGTACCTGTATGTGCTATAGTGTCTACTCAGATAGCCTAAACAAGCAACTCTTGAGAGTTTTTCAGTTGGTTTAGGTTAACATTTGATTAGGCCCCATGGCCTAGTAAGCTTTCACTGCTTTGTTCTGCAGAACACTGCTATCAACTTCATTAACCACCAGCATGTAAAATCGTTCTTACACCACTAGAATGTAAAATAATTTTTATACTTCACATATCAAACCAGGCATCTGTTGGAGCAGACCAAAAGGCAGCTCTGAGCCTGAGTGTTAGAAGTTTAGGATCAAAATTTGTAACCATTATAAATGCACATCTATGAAGGGAAGAAAGTAGTCCAGAACAAACCTGTGACTAAAGAAAATTCCTAGGAATGGAGGATTTTATTTAAGTATTAGATGAACTGCATTAATTCATCAGAAACTGATCCTTAAGATAGCTGATAGAGAAAAACTCATTATTACCTTATCATGTGTTAAGGTTATCCTCAGGTCTGGTTTTATGATACCATATGCTATCAGTAGATCTTGGACTTTTTTCAGTTCTTCCTTACATTTTCTATTTGTTGAGTAAAACTGCTTTCTTACAGGAAGATTCTTAAACAACTTTAGAACTGTTACTGTAGTACCTGCAAGCAAGTGACAAAAAACAAGCAGGAATTACACTGAAAGCATACCGCTGACAGGACATTGGGGAAACTTAATGTATACTTGAAGATACTTGTCTGTATGCTGCTGCATACAAAATAAACCATAGTAATACTAAGCTAGATTACATTAACCTGAGAAGAAATATACCAAATCAGCAGTTATTCTCCCCAAAAAAGTACCTATAGACCTCAAGAGCCCTCCTTTATTTAGAGTTATGATTGCAGCATTAAGCTTTCTTTTGTATATGCTGACGACGGCAAGAATCAGCACTAAATAAAGCTGAAGACTCCTTCAATGCATATTAAGTTCACTTTGATTAGTGAAATGGTTAATAGACTAGAATCTAATCAGACATATCTGAAGGCAAAGGAACACTGAGCTCCATTAAGGCCCTTCACAAGCATTTGCTTTAGGGTAGTACCTGAAGAGCCAGATACCTCTGTTCAAGGCTCAGTACACAGCTAGAAGAGGAATATTGATCTACCAACACAACCACATACATTCCTAGCCCATAAGGATATTGCAAAGTATTAAATATATGTCACAGAATTCAGTCAATCATTCAACAATTCTGACAAAAGACAAAGCGACGCAACCCACAGGCCCTGCGGCTGTGAAAAATGCTACTGTCTAAATCTTAAAAAAAGAGTCCCTGGTTAAAATTAGCTAAAATTAGAGTTCTCAGCTTCAAATCTTTCTTCAGTATTTGCCCACTGAGTAGCCCTCAGCATCTTCTCCTGGTTTAATGTCTCCCTGCAGCCAGTTAGCGCTGAGTTGGCAGTCAGCTCCCTGTTGGTGTATGAGCCCTGCAGCCAGCTAAGGGGGGCAGCTTGTGGGCATTAATATTGACAAGCAATTGCTGCAGCTTAGCTGGTAAAAGTTGCAACTGCTTTCTCAGGAGCACAACCTCATAACAAGAAAGGAGGACAACCCTTCTCTTCTGGGAATACACAAGCCCTGGATTGTGAATGCAAGGACACAGCGTAGCCTTAACAATCCTCGCCGAGCAATAATTAGCTAAGCAGAGCATGAAGCAGAGCAGATGCTACCCCAAATCTACACCACGTCTGAACCACCAAAGCCCACCTCTGAGGTGGGGTCAACCTTTAATCTTTCAGATAGATGTGCAGAAAGATTTCTAGCAACATGCTCTTCCTGTAGGTTAGGAAGAACTGAGACTTTGCCTGGTCCTATAGCCATGCTGCTTCCAGCAACTCCTTCATTCACCAGCAGGGCAACTCTTCCCCTTTTAAGCAAGGATTTTGCTACGTACAGGAACGTTATTTTGGTCCTAAACAAATCTTTCATATACTTATATAGTAAGTTTGCCTGGACCTGGGGCGCTGAATTTTTATAGCTTTTATTTCCTCTGTCAGCTTGAAGAAGTGAGTCAGACAAGGAGAAACTAGTTCATAATTACTATCTAAAGCAACTTCCAAGACATATTATTTCTTACAGTAACAACACATTCTTAATTGACAGAAATAAGGAAAAAAATGTTTACAGCTACAAAGATTTCATACTCAGCCTTCAAGTACAGAAGAGGTATTTCAACATCAAATAGAGCCCCAGAGAAACATAAAATACTTCAGTCACAGCACAACACTGAACAATGATATCCTACCTTGCCCAAGATGGGAAGGCTTTTTAGAAGTTATATGCCCATTGTTATCCAAAGCATACTGAGTGCTGAAATCATCAGCAGCCGTCTTTGTTGTGATCAAAACCTGAAAAGAGTGATTTTAAAAAGATTACGTTAATCAAGGATTCACAAAATTCAGAATGAGCTTAGATAAGCTTTGCTCCCGCTCTTATCTTTGCATTATTTTAGTCACCACAATTACATTTAATTAGTTTACCAAATTTTTCTTCTACGGGTGTTTCTTACAGTCAGTGAAGCATTCTGCATTATTACTCATTTTTCCATCCATTTAACTAAAAGCCACACATTTCTGTCACACTAATACACAAAGCACAGCAATCCCTACTACCCACAACACAGACCCCCTGTATCTTCTGTTCTAATGTAAGTTAAATAAACAACTAAATCAACTGATAATTTTGCTTCTTCATCCTTCATGAGAGAAGGCATGCTATGACAACTTCTTAAATTCATGCGAGATTCCACAGACATAATGACTACTATCAAGCAAACAGTGTATTATCTTTCCACACCCAAACATGTCTAGCAATCAGCAGTACCGTGTTTTGTAAGCTACTGAGGTCATACACAGACTGGCTTTAGCAAGACCAGTCATACACCAAAGTTCAATAAAACTACAACTCCCTGAGTTCAGGTATTAACATTTTGAACAATAGAACCACCGCACTTTAACCACCTGAAAGACACAAAGGTTATCACACATACAAAGCTGCAGGATATTTTGGTTTATTTTAGCATCTCATATGAATCAGAGTTCATCTGTACCTCTGGAGAGAAAAAAAGTAATTGATTAACTGGAAATGACAATATGACAGACCTACTTAAGAGCCAATAGTAAAGTATCTCCTAACTGAAACTTCAGGGGGCAGTTTGGATAGGTAGAATGCAATTAATGCCAGGAGTATTTAATTAACGCAATTATTGATTCAAGGATTAAAGTAATACCCATTAAAGTACTTAATACACTCAGGGCACCTCCTACCTCTTATGAAATGTACCATAGAGCTGATTAGAAGTTCAGAACAGATGGCATCCTGCTCTGACAACTCATTAGAAGGAACCAGTGATTGAGGTCTGTCATCACCTGTTCAAAACACCAACACTTTTGAAAGCATCTTTGGAAATCTCCATTGAAACACACAGCCCACTCCTGCTTAGGGCAATGTGAACGTAGCCCAAGACAGCAAGGAGTCAAGCCCTAACGTCTCTCCTAACCTCAACAGTTGACAGTTCCAGTCAGACACAGGTATCAGTATCTTCTCACAGGATCTAACCCTTGGCAGACTTAGAAAGAAGAATCCAAAACTTGACCTTGGCAGAGCATGAATACAGAAAGGCAAAGCACAATGGAACAGCTAGATCCTGTGCCCTTAACATCCTGAACACTTTTCAGATGGTTTTGAACCAACTCAATTCCCAGTCAACAACTTAAATTCTAAATGTCATTACACTGTCAGTCCCCTTAACGCAAGCATATGGATCAGACTCAGACAGGTCAGGGAGCAGGTTCCTGTTTGCTGATATGGAAAACAAAGTTTGTGCAATTGCAGTCAAATACATGTCAAGGAGCAACATGGAGCCCAGCAAGATCCCATGACTGCCAATCCCCTAGATAACATCAAGGCAGAAATCACCACTGAAGCAGTAGCTATGTGAGCCATCAGTTCCCTGAATTGATTTCTCCTGGCTACCATCTGCTGTTCCTCATTTTGATTTACCCGAATTCAAGTACCAAACTTGGCCATATACTTTGACATTATATTTGGTGATAACACTAAAGAGGATAAGCCTTTGTTCTAAGGAATCATGTATCTGTACATGTATGCATAGGGAATCATGTATCTGTACATGTATGCATAGGGAATCATGTATCTGTACATGTATGCATAGGGAATCATGTATCTGTACTCTGATACAAAAGAAAGGGAAACACCAAGCAATCTGTCTCTAACCTATTCTGACTGAGGAAAATAACTAGAGTGCTGCTGTGACCAGTATGACAGAAAGGCAGGACTGACAAGAAATCCATACTGCTTCCTAACCATATGACATGGCTTCTGGGGAGCAGGGGAAAGGCAGCACATACAAGCCACTCTGTTCCGAAAACATAACCCTGGCAGGCTGCTGGAACAATTTAAAGTCTTTGCACTGATATTTTAATTAAACTTTCACAAACACACACATACAAAAAAAAAAAAAAAAAAATCACAACACGAAAGACTAGACACATTTATAGCAACTGCTCACCTCTGATATGCAGCAAATTGATCCTAAAGCCTCCCCACGGAAACCGTACGTTGTCAACCTTTCAAGGTCCTCAGAAGAGCTTATTTTTGAGGTGTAGTGTTTAACTGCCATAACTGGAACATCAGCAACCTTGATTCCATTGCCATTGTCTCTTACTTCTATTTTGTTAAACCCGTAATTCTCCTAAAAAAAGAACAAAACACAATGGAGCACTAAAACAGTCAAACAGCCAAATTAATTAAAACACAAGTTTGAAGCAGCTAAGGTTACAGTTTCTAGCCCTTCAGACAGAAGTGGGAGTTTTTCTTATTTGGAGAAGCTAAGCAATCATTAAATGCCTGGGTTGGTTTGTTTTTGTTTTTTTTAAAAAGAAAGAAAAACACAACATGTTAGGATAGTAGTGACAGTTTCTCTAATCAAATAATGTAATTCATAACCTGTGGTTTGGAAACAGTACATAAATATAAATACAGTAAATTGAAACAGGAATTATTTAAAAAAAAAAAAACAAACTATGATGAAATCTGAAAAACCTAAGGTCAGAAAAATATCTATAGCTGGAAAGCTAAAGACTTTTCACCTCTCCTACCTGTTTGGTATCAATTTTTTCAAATCACCACAAATGCAGTCTTGCACCCATTAAAGTCAGTGGGCCCTCACTGAGAATAGTTTTCAATTTCACTCTTTACGTGATTTCACTACTGCTGAAGTTTTCCAGTCTCTATATTGTCTCTCAATATACAGAAACTGCAATTCTAATGGGTGTAGTGCACGAATAGGAAGGAGAGAGAATTAAGAAAGCTTGTAAAGAGGTACTGTACTTTAACAGAAAGAAGTAAATGTTCTTAGAGGCTCTTTAAAAATTATTTACCTTTACATACATGCAACAGTGCACGAATAGGAAGGAGAGAGAAATAAGAAAGCTTGTAAAGAGGTACCGTACTTTAACAGAAAGAAGTGAATGTTCTTAGAGGCTCTTTTAAAAATTATTTACCTTTACATACATGCAATACATATTTTACTAAATTCTGATTTATATGTGTCATTTCAATAAATGCCAGCATAAATATGGTAAAACTCTGAAAACCCAATTAGGACAGCTAAATAAAATATGGAATTCAGGTTCTATAACATCTCAAACAGGTGCAGCAAAGAAATGCTTCCTTCCAGCTACATTATAATCTGCACATGTAAATCACACCCAAAAAGAACAACAAGCCAGTAAGAAAAAGTAATTAGAGCTGCAGGATCACTAAGTAAACTTCTTTTACAGAAGCATGCCTGACTTTTTGAAAAGATTATGATGTAACATACAAAAAAATGTGCTGCAGTGTGTAAATACATCTAGGAGACCATAAAAGTGATTTTGCTTAGAAAGAATGAGTGGTTACCACCACTGATGTTGTACAGAGCACGTGATCGTTGCTTACAGAAAGCTGATGGATTAAACAGAACTTTGTTGTCCCACATGGCCAAATATTGGAGACAGTTATTAAAAAAATACACTGTACTCCCATAAATATTTCTGAAAGTAAAAAAAAAAAAAAAAACAATTAAAAACCAAAAGGAAGGTATCTAAAGATATTACCTGTATCCATGCATAACCTGCATTAGGAAACATCAAAAGCCTCTGAGGTAGGCACAGAACTATATGTATTTAATTAACTGATACACAAAAGAAATGTGAGTACATTTCACTTTCTGTATTAATGAATGGTGCTAAAGCCATCTTCAGGTGAAAACCAATGCTTTTGCTAATATTTGGGTCAACCTCTTACTGTGAAGCAAAACAGAACCTAAGCAATAGACCTGAACTGAACATAAAAAACCATAAAGAGATATAAACAGGAAACCTTCTACCCGGCTGCTGTATGCACTAATGAAAGGTTTGAGCATTTTACAATGAACCCTTATTTTCCATTCTAATTTTTACTTCCAGACCACTTAACTACTTCGGAAAAGTGAGATCTATCTTCTTCATCTTGAATCAAAATGTTACATGAATGCTTCTCTATTTATTTTCTAATATTATTCATTTTTACTTGCACACATTTTACTTAAAATATTACAGAGCTTAAACTTTGTATTCTGTAACACCTTCCACTACACTGAACGACCTAATACTACTGAGGTTGTGATCCCAGGAGATGTTTAAGTTGTTCTACCAGATCACTGATGCCAGAGCATATGGTTCAACTCCCTCCTCTTTTACTCATGACTGTATGGTCCTACCTTTGTTTAGCTGCAGCTCTGTTACTCACGAGAACTCTAAGGTCAATTCAGGTTATTAAACTGGCACAATTAATCCCCTTTCCTTGCTGGGTTACTTTTCTTTTGCATTAACACGATGAATGGATGGGTCATGAGAGGCAGAAATGTCTAGCAATGCCATGCAGATGGATGTAGGACTTTGCTTGTCATGGATCAGGTGTACAATGAAACCTCACCCCGAGCTAAACTTTCTCTGAGAAGGTTCTAAGAAGTAAAGCTCCCACTTCATGTATTGGGAAAAAAAAAGGTGCAGAGACAAGCGTCTGCCTTGCACAACAGCCCTTTCGTGTAACATTAGCAAACCTGTAGCTAAGATTTGTCCCTCCTGAATCCCAGCTCTGCTCCAACTATTAACACAGGCTGTTTGTTGCTCATCTTCTCTGTTAATTAAAATATGCAGGTCTCCAGTCAGACTGTGAAGATAATTCTCAAATTCCTGTTGTTAGAGGTCAGTAGGGAAACTGACAGACCAGTGCCATGGAGTCTCTTTATCCATACACAAGCAATTATATTGTTGCATCAATGGTTTTTAGCATACTGTAACATGAAACCAGGACATCACATCAATAAAAAGAACATCATTCTACATATGCTTAATGCACAGCCACGCTACAGAGGCAGCTGACCCCGCTGCTAACAGCAAGGCAAGCTTCACCATGTTCATATTTCTAAAAGCAGCAAAGCTGAAGTTCAAATTAATAAATAGATACCACTCAACATTTTATAGAAAGGTTGCAATTCAGTTTCTAATCAAATACCTGGCTTTTAATTGTAAGTAAAGTAACATCACATTATCTAAACTACAACATGAGCGGATGTTTTTCCCAGTGTTGTGTAAAAGCTAGTTTGATATGCAGTGCAAAGACACCCAATAACATCACCTATTGGAGTCAGTCAACTAACAAGTTAAAAAGAATAAAACACTAGCCAAAGTTTCCCACTACAAAGTTTCCCACTGCCACAGTTTCTAGCTGAGAATCATTCCACTTGCAGGTTAACTCCTGCTTGTCTGTCTCCAAAAAAAGCAATTCCTGGCATTGTTCAGGTAAATTGGGTAACAAGTCTGACTGAATCAGCTAGCCTTCCTAATCCATCTTGAAAAGATTTAAACAATGGAAATGCTGCAAGTTTCATCAAGCTGTAAAATGAAATTTAAAAGTTTCCATTCTCTATTATGCTCCTGAACCAATCCTGAGTTAATGTAGTCATTAAGCTCTATAATGTGGTTGACCTTATTTAAATGTCACTCAATAAAAAATTGTATTCGATGCAAAAATATTCTTATCACAAAAAAAAATCCCAGAAAAAGAATCCACTGTTCTACAGTATTATTATGCACAGCTGTGCCAAGTGCAGTTTTTCTCTTCTCCCCTACTACCCACAGAATAAATCAGCAAATCTGGTTTACTCACTGACAACCTGTGTAAAGCCAGGTCAGTTGGTTGGTTCATTTTAGAAATACAGCAATTTGGATTGAGCTGAACTGACAAAGAATGTAACAGTAGTGCAGATGACTCATGCATTGGAAGTGGCTGAAAATGTTCTTTTTAATTGATTTGGGTATATAGCAGCACTCCAATAAAAGAAGCACAGTTTGTTCTCACACTATTTGAAATCTCCAACACCTTCTGTCGACTTCTTGCAGTTACTGATCAGCTCACAGGATCTGATTCTGATACCCTCACCTACAGAACTGTGCACACACCACTCGCTTTGGAGTTACTCATGAAGCAAGATACTAGGCAGTCTAAATATTGAGAAGAAAGAGGTCATCTTCTCACTATGGTAACAGCTGGTTTTTAAACTGTGAAACCCACACTGACTAGAAGGCTTTCTCCTCCAGATATCTGTATAGCTTTAAGCCAGAGAGTGGTGCTTAATGGGGCAGAGACTAGGTACTAGGGCCAATATTATTCAATATATTCATAAATGACCTAGATGAGGGAATAGAGTGCACTGTCAGCAAGTTTGCTGATGATACCAAGCTGGCAGTCTAAATATTGAGAAGAAAGAGGTCATCACAGACCACAGTGAAGAAAGAGTATCTTCAGCTCACTTAACGAAATAACAGATAAGCATGTTCTTTGGTATCTGCAGGAAACCACGCTCAGATGGAAAACACTTGAGACTCATTCAGTAAAGATAGCAGTGACATGGACAAAGAAACAAGTAGAAATTTAGTTGTTCTTCTAATGAGGAATGTGTGGCTAACAATTTGAGAATAGCTTTTACATTCATTGTTATTTGCAGGAAAGGAAACTGGATGCACTTCTACACAAATCTAATCATACAGACCATAACAACACACTTTCTTACTAAGTAGGAGCTACTGCTACTATGCAGCCGTCGACAAAATACTGCAAAACCAGAAACACTCACAGAAGCAAGAGAAGCTGATCAGTTATCCATTTTACCCAATTAGTGAGAAAAAAACACAAGTTTCTTATTATAAACAATATTTTATTTTTTCATAAACTATCCTTGAGTGATAAGCCAAGTTTTTGTATCACCTTATGAAAATAAAATATTAGAAGGAGCCAGAGCTCATCGTGCTAATTAGGGATCGTGTGGTAATTTGTATTATCAAAACATCCAACATGGCCATCACCTACATCTTCCACTGTTTCCATTTTCACCTTCCTGACAATATTTTTTAATAAGAATTAAACATGCCACTCTAGCAGTGAAATGGAACGCCAGTTAGTCAGAAAAAGTAAATCTGTAAGCAGAGGTATTAAAGAAGTTGACAGTTTTTCCTCAAGATACACTCAGGAGCACAAGTATGACTTACTGTTTCAGGGAAGCCTCAAAAAAGGAAACTGGTTTTGGACCATTTTTATTTGAGGTTAAAATATATATGTATAAACACTACTAATAGCCTTCCATTCCCAAAACCGTGATAGCCTAAAAAATACATTTGCAGTGAATCAATGTTTCTTGCATCTTACTTTACATCCAATTATTTGTAAAAGAAAGAGGACTTACTAGTTTAATATCAATATTTGTGGCATTGGCATCCAAGGAATTTTCTATCAGCTCCTTCACCACACTGACAACCGACGTAATCACCTGAGAACTTGAAAGGAGACGAATAGTTTCTGCTGGCAGCTGTTTCATGGTGGAATAGGATTCAGAGAAGCTGCATAGAAAGATAACAGAAAAGGAATTTAAAAGGCACATTACAAATACATATTTCTAAGTAATTGTTTTACAGCAACTTTTAAATGTAGGCAAAACACAACATTACAGCTAAAGAATAAAATTGTCAACATACAGTAAGACTCAGCTTCCTCTGCGTTCAATGGGAGTTTGACTTGTGGAAGAACACAAAGCAAAATTTTAAATAGATTAAACTTCTAATTAAAAACTTTAGGAATTCTGAGATACACTGAGCAAAACAGTGTATTATCTCACATGTGTATAGTCATCTCCTCTAAATCACTATAACATGTGGTTGTGATCTTGCAATTACAATAGAGTAGACAGACCACATGGTAACCCAGTGCTCATCAGAAATGTCTTCAGATAGGATATTTACTGAGCCTCAGGTCTAACTCCAGCACTGATGCAAAAAAAATTAGAACTTTTGAATTATTTTTTTTATTAATTCCTTGCATCATTTTTCCCCCCCTACATTTAAAATTTCTGAGCTCAGCACTGCTGTGTTGTTTGTACGACTCCCAGTACCCAAAAATTCATGAAAGAAATATGACCTGAAGGTAAATGGTTTGGAGTTGGGAAAGAAGTGGTGAGGAAGCACAGTGATGCTGAGGCAAAAGTCATATTCAATGGCAATGTGATCTACTGGCAATAAGGAAAAAGAAAACAAAACCAAAAAACTTCTGAATTATAACCTTGCCTTTCTGATCTGGATTACTGTCTGCCCTCAGGCAGGTCAGTTTATTTCCACGTCTGTATCTCCCACTGGTAAATGGAGATACTTCATATTATAAGCCAGTGGAGTTGTGGGGTTTTTTTAATCACTGAAAACTTACAAAGAATTATGAAACTCCTGATGCATTAGAGAGATATTCAACCATGAGCAGACTGCAAGCGGATCTGCAAATTTTTGCATGCGTTTCCATTTAAGTACCCAAGTAGACGCAATTAACCAAACTCCAGGAAAAATCTTTGTCGACCCTTGTAGCCTGACACAAAGAACTCAACCAGTTTTTCACGCGTATGAGAAAGAGCATTGCTAGACAGCTCTTTGCACCTCAGGAATGGTTCAGACTTTGGTTGCTCTCTGTTCTAGAAGGAACATTTCTCTCCATAGCAGCATTCTTTACTGGGTTATGTTACATAATGTTATTTACACTGACAGGCAAACAATCCTGGCAGCCCTGGCTTCCCATGGATCCAGTCCAAGCTACCTGCTAGAGAATGCAGACCACACACTCAGCACCTGTCCCAAGGATATGAGCATGTATGGAGGAATGGACCAAACCCAGATTTCCTCCTGACAAAGTCAGGACACACTGAGGGACTGCAGCCAACACCCCAGAGCACCACTATCCTGCAGAGTATATGCAGCTGACACAACAGTTACAGGACACTTCTCTGCCTTGATATCCTTGCAAAGATTGCCACTCTTTAAACATAAAAGACAAGGAAAAAACATAGTTACTTGGGGAAAAAAAAAAAAAAAAAAAAAAAAAAAAAGAGTACAGCATTTGGAAGAGGAAGCAGAATTAAAACTTTTCTAAGATCAGCTACAGAGAAGTTTTCTTTTTGTATTTGTTATTTAAATTGCAAAGGGAGCTTGCCTTTTGGATGTGGTAAAAAGAGATGACAAATCAGTTTTCCACCAAACTGGGGGGAAAAAAGAAAAAAAAAAAAAAAGAGGACCATGGGAAGACATGTGTTGTTGACAACAGGCCAGTATTAATCACCTACACATTCAGAGAGGCAGGTTTTCCTCACACATTCATATGTTATGCAGGACTCCCACATCAAGTGCTTAATGAATAACTAATGACAAGTGCCAGATCAGAGATGGATATCTTTATCAAAAGACACTGACTGAGACAAGGGAGAGTCTTATAAAAAACGCTGCAGATCCCAAAGATGAGTTTTCTACGAGGTGTGACTGATACAGGCAGTTTGGGAGGAAGCAGCCCCCGGTGTGGCCTCCTGTTCTCTGCACCTGAAGCACCTCATGATGGGGGCACCTGCTGGGATGGACCCCTAGTACTGCCTACCTATGCAAAGGCATCCAACCCCTAACTACTTTTACCTAAAAAGATGTATTTCAGCTCAAGCCACATTACTATTATAGTATTATATAGACTATTATATGTCTTTACTGACCAGACATACTATAATCCATGCTCAGGGGCAAGGCTGAGTATTTTGAGAACCATCACACAGGTAGTCCTTCCACCCCTCTAAAAACGTGCCAAACACCCCAGCAAGGGGGCTCTCTGAAGGGCTGTAACATCACACGCCATCAGGCAAACCGCAAACAAAAACTCCTTACACTTCATAGCTGCAGCCTGACCGAGTTCGACAGCAGCAGCCACCCTTCCAGGCAGCGCACCCCAACACCTACTGAGGGAATTCTTCTGTTTATGAGGAAAAAAACCGCAGAAAAGCTGCAGATAAAACCTGCAGACAGTCACCCTGCAGTTGACCTAAAACCACACGAACGCGCCCTGTTCCCGCTTCTGCTTTCCGTGAAGAAAAGCTCCGGGAGCGCCGCGCCGAAACAACGCCGGCAGCAGCATCGCCGCGCCCCTCGGCGAGGGGAGATGAGGGCGAGATGAGGGCAGCCCAGCCCAGC